AGCCAATTTTTTTTTTTTTTTTTTTTTTTTTTTTAAATCACAGAAAAACAGCTACAATGCATATGAAAATAATGAAGAAGAAGAAGATATTGATGACGATTCTGATGCTGAAAATATTGATATTGCTGATAATAGTGATAATGACAGTGATAATTGTTCGTAATTCTTAAATATTTAAATTATCTATTTTAAAATTACTAATAAGTATATTATTTTAGTTGTCTATGTTGATGCACAAGTGGCAGAAGAAAAAGATAATGCTTGTAGAACAATTGCCCAAATAGCAAATGTTACAGGGTAAAAAATTAGCTTTTCCGAGTCATTTAATTGTTGCTTGAAGTGCTTGAGGATATATCCATGTTTACAGTTGAGTTCTGACGTTTCGGACTCATTGCAGAGTCCATCTTCAGAGTGATGGTTACTAGTTGGTGACTGCAACTATACTGATAGTTGCAGTATAGTTAGCAAGAGAGTATAGTTGCAGCCACCGACTAGCAACCATTACTCTGAAGATGGACTCTGCAATGAGTCCGAAACGTCAGAACTCAACTGTAAACATGGATATATCCTCAAGCACTTCAAGCAACAAGACAATCTATGAAAGTTTTAACACATTCATTTAAATGTTGTTTTAACTTAGTCATAATTATTTATTTAAGTTCAAATTAGTATTACAAAAATTCAAAGGAAATTCATGTATTAATTTATAACCTTTGTCTGTCTATTGTACGTTGTGATTTATTAAGTATACTACACATCATTATTTCATCAAATTATGTTTTTTCCATAAAAGTATAGATTAAAATTTAATTACTTTTTATAAACCATTGTAAATATCAAATTTATTGTAAGAAAAATCTATTCATAAGGGTAGAATATTTTTTAGGGTTAATTTCAAGAGTTAAATGGGAACTATTATTATTTATATATATATATAAAATGGAAAATGATCTAAATAAAATGTTGACAGGTTGATAATATATATTGATTTATTATATTTTGAGTTGTTTTAATATTTAGTTATAGACAAAAGGGTTCACATCATTAGAGAATTCTTATGTGTGTGTTATTTTAAAAATATATCATCACTTAAGACTACCCCACTCCTCACCTTTTCTAAATAATCAAGTACTAATATCTCAAAAGTTAAAATACAATACTGGTTATCAACCTGTCAAAATTTTATTTAAATTATTCTCAATTTAATAATAAAAAAATAATAGGTTGCGATTTAACTATCAAAAGTTACCCCCAAAATATACCATAGAAATAATTTTTTCTTACAATAAACTTTACATTTATAACGGTTTATAAAAATAAAATAAATTCTAATCTATATATTTTTATACAAAAATATGGGGTGTAGTATACTTAATAAATCAACTGTGTATAACAATTAAACATATTTTTATGTTTTTCCAAAGATAAATATTTTTTTTATAAATGTGTTACTTTGACACATTCATAACTATCGAAAAAAAAAATTAAATATTACTGTCTTATGGTAAATGTAATCTTATTTTTGTCAAGCAGTAATTAAATTATAGTTAGTGTTTTTAAGGTATCATTAATTATAAAATAATTTAATTAATTTTTAGGGATAAATTTTTGCCCTACTTAAAAAGTAGTTTTGATATTATGACAAAGCTATTGGAAGATGATGATGAAGATACTATAGATTCAGCACTTGAGGCATATGGACAACTATGTATCAATTTTTCAAAATTATCAGATCATGGGAGTCAAGAGTGTAAGTTATTTATTGAGTGTTAGTTTGTATTAAAATTGTATGATAGCTTTATCATTATAATCTTGACCTAAATAACTTTCTTCTTATTATTATTGAAACTCATTAATTATTAAAATTTTTCTTTATTTCATTTTTTTTATCTGATATTATTCTTAGTAGCTTCTACTTAATTTTTTTCAGAGTGGGGTTTCACATAAAAAATTTTGTCCTTATTTTATAAAAATTGTTTACATTTATTTGGTTATGATGTGGTTTTGACCTAGAAACCTCTATTTCTATTAATATGCCTCTGCTGTCATTAAATATGTGACTGTTTATTAAGATAATGTTAAATTTAAAAATATCATTAAAAGAAAAAAATAAAAGATAAATTTTACTGTTAGTATTATATTTAGGTAACTTAAGTTAGTTCAGTAAAAAGTATTAATTCTATTTATTTTTTTTAGATTTGGAAAAGGCTTTAGAAGCATTTTTAGGTTATGGAGAAAAGAAAGTCCAAGAGGATGGATTAGAAGCATTAGATATTACATTTTTAGAAGTTTTATCTGAAATGTTGAAGGAAATCAAAACCAAAATGGCTAAATATGCACAGCCCATAATGATAATGGCTAAGAATATATTATCTTTGAAGGTGAAATATATTTTTTTTAATTTACATTTTTATACTTTTTTAATAATTTTTTTATTTGAAGTCTTATTTAACTTAATTTTTTACTTGAGAATTATGCAAAAAAAAGTTAACATTGATTACAATAAATTTAATACATATTATAAATTAAAAGATTCTCAAATATTTTTTTAAGTATTAATATTTTCTACAATATTTTATTATGATAAAAACTAAAATTGATATTATATTTTGCAACTATGATTAATTTTAAATTTATATTAGAAAATAGTATTTCTTTCTATGTTCATATGATGTTCTGTTACAAACAATGAGAACAATAAATACCCAAATATACAGGTATATTTTTGTTGGTTTTTTATGACATCGACATTTACAGAAACGCAGCATTTATTATTAATGGTAGTAAGACATATTGTTGTGAGTTTAATAAATACACCAACTGACATTACAGAAAGCATATTAATTGATAGTCATAATTAACAACAAACACTGTAACTATGATAGTGACATCATAAAAAAACAATTAGCTACCTGTATTTGTAATCCCTTGTATATTATACATGTATATTAACTAGAAAATTTAAAGCTCTTAAATAAAATTTTCCAACTTATTCAAAGTTTTAAACTAAAATTGATTAAAACATAATTATAAACCAAATATGTAGAATTTTTCAATAGTTTATTCTTATGTTAACTTAAAAATTTTCTAATGCACAAATGAAACTTGAATAAACTTATAATATTTATATTTAAATGAGTACTTTAAGAAATTATTCTGTAAGTCCTACTACCGTTCTGGTCCAACATTGGTTTTCTGCACCTTTTCATCACTATAAAGTCTAATTTTTTAATACTAGTCATCGCTACTAGTATATACCCTACTAGTATAGTTTCCCTGCCTTCAAGTACTAGCCTTGAAGTCACCTAGCTATTACTAATTGCCTCCAGAGCAGCTTGATTATCACTTAGGATATTTATTTTCCTTTTTTTTAATACTTGTAGGTTCTGGGCTCTACTAGTATTGTCATTACCTCTGCTTAAAACACAGAGGGTGTTATGCCCATTGACATGCTGATATTTATGCTGCGAGGTTTTAATCCCCAAATGCCAGCAATTGATTTCCTTATTCCTTTGAGCTGTCTGTACAAATTACACACTTTCTTTTCCTAGTCGAGTAATTTATATTCCATTCACTGCATGTAAATATCTTAAACTTGTAGAGGATGTTATTTTGGAGAATTGCTTTGATACAATCCAAGGGATATTCCAGTGTACTTTGGTCTATCTTTTTTTGTATTTTACCATGTTCTACAGTTTATCTATAGCATACTTCAGTTGTAGAGTTTTAGTGCTATAGCTTTAAAATGAGCTTTAACCTCTAGGTGTCACCTTACTAATATAGATCATTAAAACATTTTGATGTTGACAATTATTTTATTAATAATTAATTAATTAAATAGTATATTAATATATTATGAATTAAATAAGCTAAACTATTTAAAAATATATATTTTTTTTAAATAAAACATCTGGTATCTTTGAAATAAGAAAATGCTTTTATTACAGATAGGAGATGCCAATAGTCCTGGTGAACTAGATGAGTTAGACAGTGAAAATAATGAAATACCAATCGATTATGCTGGAAATGTTGTGTCAAACTTGAGTTATGTAGTTCCACCAGAAACATATACAACTTATTTTGCATCTTTAGTTCCTTTAATAAAAAAATTATTAGTAAGTATAAATAGTTTCTGTATTGTTAAAAAAAATTAAATAAAAATTGAAAATTTTAACTATATTTTGATAAGATAATTTTTTATTTGTTAATATTTCTTGTTTTATACTTTAATTATTCAACTTAAATATTAAACAAAATGATGTTTTGACTTATCTCTGTAATAGTTGGTAAAAAAAAAATAATTATTATATAAAGGGTAAAATGGTAGTTAATAGTTCTTTTTCGATATTAATTTTATGGTTTGATTCAATAGCTAACTACTAGTAATATAAATTAAAAAAATCCATTTGGTAAAAAATATTATCATTTTGCTTACATTAAAGAGAAAAAATGTATGTTTTCTCATAAAAAATTGATAAAAATGAACCATTATTGTTTTTACTCTATATCCTTCTTATGTTATTATACTTAGAATTTGTAGTATACTTGGTTTTATATTGTTTTCATTGTAGTCAAAAGGATCTTCTGATATCTTGCGAGCTACTGGATTAGCTATAATCGGAGAGTCAGTAAAAGGACTAGGTGACAATGCTGGTGAAATATCAGAGCTGATGCTTCCTCTAGTTTTGCAACTAATTGAAGATCAAGATGATTCTGTAAGGAATAATGCAGTATTTGCATTAGGTGAAATCACATTTTATGGAAAAGAAGCAATTTATAAGTAATGATTAACATAATAATTTAATGAAAACTTTTATTTGTTTTACAGTTTTCTTACTATTTTAAGTTCTAAATTCTAGTTTTAGTAGTGCAAATATTACTGAATAAAATAGTTAAATTAGTTATATATTTTTTTCTAGGTACTACCCTACTATTCTAAACACATTTTCTCAAGTGGTTGTAAAAGAACAACGTTCTAAAGTATTAGATAATGTGTATGGTGCTTTAGCACGAATGATTATTACCAACATTGAAGGAGTACCTTTAGATCATGTAAGTATGTTATGCATTTTTAAAATATATAATGAATTTATTATTATAATAATTCAATTTTACAAATTAACTGAGTTTTATTATAAATCAGGAGTTTTTTTTTTTGTGGGCTATTTAACTATTTTTGTTAAAATTAGTTAATTTTAAAAAAAAAATTGTATAAAATAATTCTAATTTTGAGAAGCACTGCCCCCTTGTATCCACACCTGATATGAATAAATACAGGTAAAACTATATTAATGTTTTTACAATTTTTGTCATTATTAATAGTTATTTATATAAAAAAAATATTAACTGATTTTAGGTAGTTCCTGTTATGATAAATTACTTACCCTTACACGAAGATTTTGTAGAAAACCTTACCGTGTTTCGTTGTTTAGTATATTTATATGAATGTGGCAATCAACATATGGTGTCTCTTTCTGATACTGTCTTAAAAGCATCATTAGTTACATTAAGTGATAAAAGAAAATGCTATGATGATGGTAAATTTATTATTTATTTTAAAAATTCAAATATGTTGTGTAGATTATATATATATCATGGTGGTATTTTTTGTAATGCTTATAAAGTCTATTAAGGATTCTAGAGGCTTTCTCCTACGAGGAGAGTTTTTAACTTAATATTATCATAGGATTGTAATTTGTCCGCTGCCAAAGAAAAAAAAAATGGTGATTCCAATTAATGAATTTATTTCTAATTCAGCAGTCAAAGTTATCCATGACTGACTTTTATAATTGTCACTTCACAGAATGTTACATTATGACTAAATGTTAAATTAGGTATGATAATAACATTTATTTATTTTATTTTACAGAAGTAAAAGAGGTAATAATTACACTTATCCGGATGTATAAAAGAGATTTTCCAGATAAGTGTTTGACATTAGTACTTCCTGAAGATCTTAGGAGATTGTTGAGTGAAATACAGCTTTAAGATTTGATAAATGAAACCTTATTTATTGTTGTTTATTAAATGATAATTATATACCATTACCTAATTCCAAATATTTCAATGATGTTATTTTTTTTATCATGTTGTCACTTATAAAGTTGTATATTACATTGTTTTTTCAGTCATAACTCACGTTTATATCTTATATATTTGCATGTATTTAATCATGTTTAATATAATTAATAATAAGTAACCATTAAATATATTTTAAAATTTGTTTTGTCTATAATTTCAAGTTTGATTTTTTATTCAGTTTTCTTTTCAAATAAACGTTTCTTGAAAATAGACTTCTAAATTTTATTTATCTTGATTGGCAAGATGAATTTCACTTAAAAAGTTAAATTTTTTTTAAACTTAAATAATTAATTATTTTTACAATTATCTTAAATGGTTAGTTTATCGTTGATATAACTTGGCTATTTTATATTAATTACATTATATAATTAAGTTAAAATTAATACAGTCAGAAATTTTTGACTACATATGAGGTTTTAAACGAAAATAATCCATAAATAATAAAACCTCTAATTTATGTTTCTTGATTAAAAACTATAATATGAAGATAGATTGATTTAAAATATCTACAATATTGGTATATCATTGATTATGCTGCAACTGAGCGCATTTAAAAATTTTCAAAATGAAATTTAACAATAATGATATAAAAAGTGTTTCTAGATATTAAGTATCATATATATATATGTTAAATTATATTATATAATTCATAGTTTAAATGTTATTAAACAAAAATCAACTGTTATATTAGAACATGTATGACTCAAATATGTTTTTTGGTCATCTGGAACTTACAAAAATTAGGATATGTACTGTTGCAGTTTAAACGACAATATGTAATAAAAATAATTATTAAGACTGCTTACCTACCCTCAGAATTGAGAAAAATTCTCACAGTTTGAATATAGTGTTTTGTATATGCTAATTTGTATACTTAAGAGATTATGATGAAAAATTTATTACAAATATTAAACATTGGTGTTAGAACCAAACTAGGCTAAATTGAATTTTCCCCACCTTAAATAATATATTTGTATAACAATAAATATAATTCTTTGAATATTTTCGGGAGGGCTGGGAATATTTTTGAATTTATAGGTTATGCTTCTATATTTGAATTAGATTTATTCATAAATTAAAAAATAAGAAAGAAAATATTTCACTCTTTATGTGATCCTCAAACATTTAAAAAGTAAATAAACTAAGTTAAGTTTATAATTTTAATCACCTCACTTAAGTTTTTGTTTCCATTAACTTGACTATTTTTGATGATTGTTTTATCATTAACCACCACTTGATCGAAAAATAAAAACAAAATTGATAATTTTTTTGGTTTCTTTTACTCAGTTTCATGTTTTTCTTAATAAATTATTAAGTATTTTTTATGTTAATAACTTGCAAGGGTGTTAAATTTTTTTTTTTTTAAGGCAACATACATAACTAGCTTGTTTCTAAATAATGATCTAATTAAGAAATTTACTGATAAGCAACTTTTAGACCAGTATTTCAAATGTTATTGACAACTTAAAATGAAAAAAGAACCACCTGTATGATATATATTGATATATAAAAGGTAAAAAATTCAAGAAAGTCAGCACCTATAATAAACAGATGACAACTTTGTCTTCCAACATAAAAGTACATTTCCTTTTTTTTTATGTAAAATTAATAACAAGCTATTAAAAACTTTAAACTATTTTTTACTTTATCATAATAGAAAGTGATTACATTTATTTTAAAATTTGTTATTGATGAGTTTACTTGAATTAAAACATGATTAAATAATTTATCTTATAATTGATTAATAAAATAATTTGAATTTATTAATAAAAAATATAAAAAAATGACTAAACTATAAACTGTTAATATTTAAATTAAATGAATGGTTGAGTTTAATGAAGTAAAAAACTATGATTATTTAATTACAGTATAACTTATATTTCACAAACATGGATTCCCATATCACAGTAAATATATTTTGTACGATCTTCTCAAACATCCATAAACAGTTAATATTAAATTACAAAAAGAAAACAAAATCATCATATTCAAGATACAATTAATTCATACAATATGAACTTCATTCAATAATTTGAAACATGCACCATGACAATAACAAGATCGACTACATATAAAAATACTTAAATAAATATATAACTGAATACTTTAACATAAAATAATTTTGGAGACCAAATTAATTGTTTAAATTAAGGTGGGTTTATATACAGGACATTATTAAACTAATAACTCCATCAAAAATGTAAAAACATCTACTTGAGATATTTCTGAATGTTAATTAAGTTATTAACAGAACAATCTAAAAATACAATTACTTTTACAATCCCTGTAATTCATACACTAATTACACTAGTTTAACACACAGCAATTAACAAAGGTAACGAAATTGTCATTTTGTATATAAAAAGAAACAAATTATTCATTTAAAATATATAAATGCTACACTTATAAATGTTTGATAATAAAAATATAAGAATTACATTTAAAACGGACGGACATTTAAAAATAAAAAATGAATGTATGTATTCTATGTTATCGACCATAATTCATGATAGAGAATACTAAAAATACTATTGAATAAAATTGTATTGATTTTTTTATATGGTGATAAAAACATATTTTTAAAATATAATATAGTACTATAAAATTATAATAAATAATTTTAAAGTTAAATAATATATAATATAAATATACTTATATATTATTTTATCTATCAATTGGCTCCACATTATGTATCTTAGTAAAAGATTTTGTGTTTGCTGTACTATTAATAGTTTCTGATTCCTTTGACAATTCATTACTGTTATTAAGAGAATTAGCAACTATTTCAGATGACTCAGTTAAATCTTCTGAAGATACTAAGCTATAAGTAGTCTCCCTTTTGTTACCAATATTTGTATCAACTTCAGGAATAGTATGTTTATTTTGAACTAAAAAGATAAAATAAACATTAGTAATTGATTTAATTATTTATTTTAATAATTACTTGAAAAGCTATTAATTGGGTATATATTGTTCTCAGAGAAATTAAGAGGAGGATCTTGGGCATTATCATCCGTTAAATGAGCAAATAATTCTTGATCAATTCCAGATTCTCCATTGAGTTCAATTGGTTCACCAAAACTAGAGTCAAAATTAGCCCAACCAGTTTCTAGTTTAGGCTCAATAATATTTTCTCCCCAGGGACTTGACGGACAGGCACAATCTGAATAAAACATTAATTATGAATTCAAATTAAAGATAAAAAAAATAATTTTAATTAAAAAAAAAGTAGCACAGTGGGGCCACAGCAGTGTAGATGTGGCATATTTATTAAATTTAAGCGCATATAGGGTCAATCATCCAGAAGTGGTTGCACGACCACCTCATTTTTATCTTAAATTTTTGGGTTTATTCTTCATGCTATAATTAGATTAAAACATGAAAAGTAATTATGAGATGGGTATATTTATGTATATATTATGTTATATGTGATGACTAATTATGTTTCAATTTTGCGATGAAAAAATTAAAGGGATAATATACATAAATATATCCACTTCAGAAGTTCAACAAAACAAAAACACCTAATTTAAGATTTAAATTGTGTAAAACTATTCTCGAGAATAGGGAAAACACAAATATTTACCAATTAATAACAGTATCATAAGAAGCCTTCAGATATCATTAACTAATATTTATGAAGACAAAATATTCTAACAACTAGAATAATCCATGATTATTTATTAAAATATTTTACAATATTATCATAGTGATTTAATTAATTATTTTTGTATTTTTCAGCTATAATAATGAATTAAATAATTATAAAATTAATAATAATTATATTGAATCGTAATTAAAATTAAGTTGAAAAAGTTAAGTTTTAGTGAAAAATTTGCTATCTTAAACCTCCTCTGCAGGCAGGTAAAGGGTCACAATTTATATCAAATGGGAGGGAAATACATATGGTTTCTACATAAAAATAATTTATTTTTATTTGATCATTTTGAAAAAGTTATAGCAGTTTAAAGAAAGAAAAAAATGTTAATTTTATCAATTTTAAAAATTGTATTTTTTTTTGTGAGATTTCCCCCATTTTTAGCGAATGAGGGAAATTTTTTCAATTTTTGTAAAATACTTAAAAATAATTAATACTTACTATTGTCTGAATTATCACTTATTTGTAATTCACTGGATGGTTTTGCATTTAACTGAGATCTGAAAGTTTCCCAATCAGATGTTTCTGGTGACCAATATCTATAACAAAAATCATGTACATTAATATATTGTAATAGCAAATAATATACTTAAAATAAAATGTATCTTACAAGTCATTTTCTTTAGATATAAAATCATCAGATTTATTAAAAGAATTTTGAAAAATATTTATATTGAAATCTGTTTTAGCAGAATCATCTTCATCGTCCTTCCACATTTCATTATCATCAGCATCAAAAGTGCTGGATAAAATTGCGTCTTTGAAACCTATATCATCAATAGTCATTTCAGATGATCTAACTGAACACATACGATTGAACATTTCTGCTTGAATCTCCATTGTATTTCTAATTCATATTAAGAATGAATAATAAAATATTGCACAGAACTCTTAGTAAAAGCTAAATCTTACTTATCATTTTCATCTCCTTCATCATCATCATCATCAAAATTAATATCTATTCGAGATATCCCAAGTTGATTATCATTACTATTAAATTCAATACCCGGTCTCCCATATATAGCTTCATCTTCATCAATTTCTTTTCTAACATTCATTATAGCTATTTCATCTCGAGGATGTAACCCACCCTAAAATTATCATTAAATTAGTGTCAAAGTAAAAAAACCTCATAAGTATAATGACTTACCAGACATGATGACATACGATCTTCATTTTCTTGAAGAGTTGTAGTGGTAAATAAATCCCACTTCTCAACTATATCAGTGTCTAATGTATTAACGATTATACCTCTGAAATGATCTGAATAAAAAGTTTCTGTATTGTGTAAACTTTTGGCGATTGCAGCTAAATGACCAATATAACCTTTCCGTTTTTTTCCAGGTTGAATACTATTTAAGTTAAATATATTTACTATTTATTAATAAATAATAATTTTAAATAAAAATGTTAAGTAGAGTAACTTAACATGTCTAGAATAATCTAAAATAGCAATCTAGAATAATGAAATAACTGTTTAGCAAACAACTTGAAAACTTTCCAGTTTAAATTTTAAGCAAATCTTATTAATTTAATAATATTAAATACTAAAATATAATTTTTTATAATTATTGGTATTGCTTTTTGATCAATTCAAAACCAAGAAAATTTAATTTTTAATATTTAATAATCAATAAAAGATTAATTAAAAATATTGTAATATTGAAAACCATTGATTAAGGATATCCAATAAATGAATTATCAACATCATATATGTCATTTTTACAAAATTAATCGAAATTAATCATGCAAAATTGAATAAGATACGTTTAATTCAAATTTGTAATACACTTTTAGTATAGAATAGTCGTTGAGTAAGTAAGAAAACATGTTTCCATTGTTCCATTGTTTGTAACAACTGACTTATTTTCTTACCTACTGAACACCTTTATACTATGATTAATAATATCTCATTTTCTTTTATTCTCTAAAAAAATTTCTATAATTGTGTTTTTATTAATAGTTTTTCATATTAATTATGTTTGTGCAATTATTTACTATTATTTTGAATTAAAGATACAGCATTCACTGACATTTATAATAACTTTTGATCCAGTAAATTTTTTTTGCTAATTTTTTTTTTATCAGTACTTAATATATTTGAGGGCTATAATAATGTAATTAATATCATTTTTATAATTCAATAAAAAAAATTTTATTTTAAAAATATAAGAAAAATATTTAAAAAAATGTCAAAATAGCCAATTTTTAGAATAGATTTTAAAAAATAATTTGGTGAAAATAATTCTCATTAATGTTTGATAGTTAATTTTCTGTAATAACATAAATTTTGTAAAAATTTTAATTTTCTATATTTATTCTACAGTATCAATCGTTCGCTATTTTTTACAAAAAAGGACAGAAGTAAACACAATCTTCTCACACTAAATATGATGTAAGTATGGATTTTTCCATGAAAATGATTAACATTCCAATGACTGGTTTTAATTCAAATAAAAACAAAAACAATACTTATAATATGCATAAAAAGATAGTGTTTTCTTCTGTCCTTTACTGAAAACGTACTTCAATGTTTAATACTTTAATACAATACATAGAAATTCAATTTTTCAAAAATCTACCTTTTAAACGAAAATTTACCACAACCTCACCAAACTGTAAAATTAACTCAATTTAAAAATATCCCAATAAAACTATATAAAATAACCTTAAGTTATTTAAAAAATCGAAATTTTGTTTTAAAAAGTAATATTGTGAGTAATTTTTCAATATTATTTTCTATATTTTACAAAATAAAAGCATTGAATTAAAAAAACTCTGATATTAGGAAATTTGTTTTATGTTTCAATCTCGCATAACTTCTTCATTTTTTTATCAATATTACAAAATAATATATCATTTTCTTTGTTATGTATTAGAGTATAATGTTTATTGAGTATATTGTTGATAAATTTATTTTTTATTGGTGTATTTTACGTAAAACTGAATTTTTTCTGACATTTTGAAAAAAATAATAAAAATTCAGGGGTAAATTCGTAGATAGCAACTGAGAAAAAAGTCTGATAAAAAATTATTTATGATAAAAGTTATAGGTAATTTATAATATTGTTTAATTTTATGTTAAAAAAATGAAAATCGGTTGAATGCCATTAAAGATATTTAGAATATAATGAAAACACTATTTTGCGGCACACAAAAAATGCTAATTTCGCAATAACTCAAAAACTAACCTAATTTTTTAATTTTGGACTTCATTTTCGGACTCAGTGAACGATTTTACATAAAAAATGACTATCATAAGTCATAGGTCAATTTTGTTGTAAACTAGTGTAATTAATATTTCAATAAAATGTAAAATTATAAATTATTGAAATATAATTATAGACCTAGTTTTAGTTTTAGTTATTATCGAGGTTGACATAATGCCCATGCACTCAGACCTGTTGGTCCATTATGTGCACCTCATACCGAATTGTCTTAATTCGGTTTACCTACCTAAGTGTTATCACCAAAGTGTTAATACATTATCAACCATAAAGTCACCTCTAAAGATGACCAAAGAGTCCTGTCTTTCTGGCGAAATTAAGTATCTCTCTAGGTTTTAGGTTTTTAATATCTTCTTTTTCAGGAAAAGGTTTATTCAAGTAGTTTGATCTTAGTGTGGACAAGGGTTCACATTTGCACATGATGTGAAATGAGTCTTCCTCTTCTACTCTACACTTCCTGCACAATGGTGATTCCGATACCCCCATTGCGTTAAGATGCTTAAGCAGGTGACCATGTCCTGTCAGTAGACCAGTCAGGGTGCTTATTTGATGTCTAGTCATGCTATTAAGATCACCCAGCAATAAACCAGGGGTCTTGATAAACATTTTAGATTGTCTAGGTACTATCAAGTACTTCCAGATTTTCCTGTGTTCTCTGCACCAATTCTTGGGTAACGCTATGAGCGATTGCTCAGTGAGTCATACCACTGGTTCTGGTCCAACATAGGTATTCTCTGCTCCTTTCCTGGCTAGAAAGTCAGCATTCTCATTTCCAGTGACACCGTTGTGTCCCGGTACCCACGCTAGTGTAACTTTGTTGAACCTCGATAGTGATTCTAAAGTTTCCCTGCATTCGAGGACCAGCTTTGAATTCACCTGATCGTTACAGAGTGCTTTCAAAGCCGCTTGACTATCACTTAAGATAGTTATCTTCCTATTTTTGTATACCAGCAGGTTCTGAGCCCCTACCAGTATCGCCATCACCTCTGCTTGGAAAACAGAGAGTGTTGTGTCCAATGACATACTGACATTTATTCGTGGCTTTAAGCCCCAAATTCCAGCACCTACCTTTCCATCTGTATGTATCACAAATCCTCCTTTTTCAGTCAGGTGGTTAATATTCCATTCTCTACGTGTAGTGATCTCCACTTTGTAGGGAATGTTATTCTTAAGAACCGGTTTGATATAGTCCAAGGGGTACTCTAAAAAGCCCTGGTCTATCTCTTTTAGTATTTTAATTATAGACCTAACATATAACTATTATTTAAAAAAAAAAACCCAACCCAGCACAGGGGGGTCGCGNAAAAAACCCAGCACAGGGGGGTCGCGGCACAGTGGTGACGTGGCATAGTTGGATCAAGTATAATGATATCTGACAGTGATTAAAACCACTATCAAAAAAAACGCTTCGATGCAAATCTTTAGATAGTGTTTCATTTTAAAAAATTGGTGGATTATTCCAAAAGTTACATGATCTGCTAGTTCCTCATTAATATCCTGATTANATAAACTGCTAGTTCCTTATTAATATCCTGATTAAGATAAAGTATGTCGAATGAAAAAGGGATTATTAAAAAATAGTATTTCCCATAAAAAAATTATATTGATCAATACACTTTTCAATAAGTTATAGCACTATAAAGTTAAAAATGTAAAAAATAAAATTGAGAATTTTCACACAATAATAGCATTTGGTAGCCATTTTCACCGTGAAGACAAAATAAAGTCCGAAATTTTTTTTTTACATAATAAAGTAGATTACATTAGCTTTAATTTAATATATATATAAAAGTGTCAAACTTTCCGGAACACTTTCAAAATTTAAGTTGAAAAAGTCAATTTTTTGTGAAAAATTTGTCATTTTGAATCCCCCCTGTGGGCAGGTAAAAAGTCAGATTTATAAAAGAAATATACCAAATGATAGGTAAAGACATCATGCATCTACAAAAAAAAGAATTATATTGATCCATACATCTTTCGAGAAGTTATAGCATTATAAAGTTAAAAATATAAAAAAGAATTTTTTTACAAAAATCGTATTTTTTTTATTAAGTTTAATGTCTGTTTTCACCATGAAGATAAAATAAAGTCCGAAATTTTTTTTTACCATTATAAAGTATATTACATTAGCTTTAATTTAAGATATATATAAAAGTGTCNAAAAAAAAAAAAAAAAAAAAAAAAACACATCTTAGTAAAACCAATACCTTCTCAGCTTCGCATCGAAGCTAAAAATCAGCAAAAAATATTATTTCAAAATTTATTTAAGTTGTCAGTGAATACTGGTCCACTCTGTATATATATACTTCTTCTTTTGATTATATTATGTATTATTATTTGAGTTTTTAAAATTTTATTTTGTAATTAGTGGAACACAAAACTAATAACATTAAATTAATTTAAATAAAATATTAACCAAATAGAAATATGAGATGTTAATAGCTAGTTTTTTAATTATATAAGTCTAGATTTTATAATTTAACTCACCATTTTTCATGGTCTAATATAGATTCAATGAGTTTGCAATCTTTAATAACCTACAGTTAAAATACACATTCAATTATTAAATATATATATTGTTTTAATGTAAACTTTCTCTTACATGAGCAATAAAAGAACTATTTTCTGCTAGTGAATGATTACAACACATTATTTCATGGAAGCATTGAACGACTTGTGTATGAAGAAAATTATTTAAATCATAACTAAAGAAGCAATCCTGAAATTATATATTGTTGTATAATTAATATATTATAAGAACGATTTATACAATTTTACTTTTGAAGAGTATTTTATTACTTGACCTATTACCAAAGGCTTTACAAAGAGGGCACTACATTAAAGTAATAAAGCAAAAAATTAAAGTTGTTAACTTTTCTTTTGAGGTGATAAAAAGGTAATTTACCTAACGAACAATAAGCTTATTTTTGTTATGGGGCAATATTCAATTTTGCCTAAAACATATGAAATACTAGTTATGCCACTTGCTTTACTGCTAGTATATAACATTCAAATAAATCTTTTTTATACTGTGTAAATCTTATTTTCTCTATCGCGTAATGAAATATAAAGTACTAAAATTAGAAACTTCTATGAATCTAATATAAATAAATATTTTTTGGCATAATGTACTTACAAGCAAAACTTTTATAGTGTTCAATTGAGCAAAACGTTCATTAATTTGTTGATGATGCATGCTTAATAACGAACATATCAATTTCACTATCTGTAAGCGTACATTCCCAAATAATTTTTCTACTTCATTTTCCATACATTCTAAACTGTCAATCTGTAATTAAAATATTAGTATAAAAAAAAACCAAACCTATAATAAAACTATTTCTAATTTAATCTTTTTACTTTTTTAATAATACATTACTTTAAAGACAATTACACATACATTTGAAACATTAAGAATTAATAAACTTAAAAAACAAAAACAATGATAGACAATTAAAACATTACTGGTAAGATAAAATAAAAGGGGTAATTTATAGTGAGAAATATTAGTCAAATTATTTTTTTTAATGTTATTTATTAATTTTATTATACAACAAGAATTGATCACTAGTGACTAACATTATTTAAAATTTAAAATATTATTATATTGTCTTTTAAAAACATTATTTTTAAATGATCATGTTTTTTAAAAAGATTAAGTTGTATTTATAATTATAATAACTACAAAACAGTTTATGATTAGCTACCATAATCAGACCAATGCTGGCCAAGTGTGTAAGGTAATGAATAACAAGGGCTAGTTAAACAAAAATGAAATTTACCTACATTTGAAGAGAATAAATGTTAGTATTTAATCTTTTAAAGTTTTAAGTCATAGTTAAAAAAATAAATAAAATACTCTTTAAGAAATTATTTTTAAAAATATTCTCAATAACAAAAATGCATTTTAAGATATTTAAGGACTTTTTTTCAGAAATAAAAAAAAATGTTCAGTTGAATCATATAAAAATAATGTTTTGTTTAATCAAAATAATATTTAAGAAATTGAATTAAATAATACCTTAGGAGGGAATAGTAACACATTGTGAATATGTTCTAAAAATGGTAAAATTGTGATGCATAAGATTTCTGCCATGGTTTGCTTTTTAGTATAAACTTCTTTAGAATCATCACCTCTGAAAAAAATATAGAAATGTATTATTATAATTATTTGTGATGGACAATGATATAATTTCACACATAGATATTTTTTTTAATTTTGGCAATAAAAAACAATATCGTTATTCCAAATATACACATTTTATAGTATTAAAGAAAAAGCTAATTTTTTTTTTTAACTTCGAATGGCTAACTGCTAAAACTTTTATTTTTATGTTTGGAGATCGCACTTATAAATTTTTAAAACAAATAGGGTAAGGTTGAGGAATTGTAAATGCATGCATTTTTATATCAAACCTATATTTAATAAGATAGCAATACATAGGAGGGCCAGAAGTTTTCAACATAAAATAATAAAATTTCTTAAATATTCTAAGAGAAAAAATTGATTCACAATTTCCTAATTCATTTACATTTACCCTACATTACCCCATGTACCACTTGTTATTAATTTTAAGCTAATGGATACATATATTAAATTGTTCATAGAAATATGAACAATTGAATTTTTTTTATAAAAGAACAGCGTAACAAATATTTTGCTATCAAATTTAAAAATCACTAAAAAATTATATTAAAATTAATAATTAAATTTCAATATCAGTTTCAAAATTTTATCCTGATATTGATATTGTATCAAACTATTAATATAATTTTCCAACATGAATTATTATTTTATATTTCATAACAAAAAATTCTAACTTAAATTTTGTAGACATCAACAAAGTTTGTAAAATCGATATGCCTCCTAGTAATGTACTCTCAGTCTTTTCAGAATGGCCAAACATTTTAACCAACAATTTGTTTATGATTTCTGGCCTAATAACACATTAATTATAAATTATGTCAATCATTAATTATTGTTTTACTATAAACAGAGTGTCTTAGAACTAATTGATAACACTTATAACTTTTAATACAACTATAATTTTATTGGAATTTTTTGTTTAAATAATTATTGCCTTATTAAACTATGATTGAAAAATATTTTTTTATCACTAATTTTTGATAAGCCTATAACAATTTTAGGACAAGTACTCATTGAGTTACAACCATTGTATTACATATATTGGTATTGAATGGTACGGAGTATACGTACACTAGTACGACTTACATCCATCCTCAATTTATACCCACTCTATATATTTAAATTCTACTTGTTTTTAAATTGTTATCGACCCATTAGTATTTTTGTAAAAAAAACCACTAAAAAATGGCTATTTTAAAATTTTGAAAACAATAAAAAAATATTTTTTTTTTCTTATTAGTGACACATAATAATATATGTATTATTAAGAAGACAACAGTAATTAAAAAAAAATCACAACAAATTGATTATTTTATCAAAAGTTATATGCATTGTGTGTTAGGTCTGAGATACCCTGAGTCAACTTTATTAGTAACAAATAAATAGATTTTTTTCTTACGATTCAATTGTAGTAACAAGTGGGTTTTGTTCAAGTGGGTGCATATCTGATGAAATTTCTATAGAACAGATAATTTCAGCAGCGTTTAACTGCCTAATGGGTGAACTTAATGGATCAAAAGTATCTACTAATTTACAAATAAGCTGTTCTTTTTCAAATAACTGGAACAATTATTAATGTTACAATTTCCAATAATCAAACTAAAAATATTGATAGGTTATCTCACACTAAAAATATTACTCCGTAATGGAGGCCCTTCTAAGAGAGTTGATATTTTAATGATGAGATCCATAATGGCAGATGTATCAAGGTGTTTTAATAGTAAATCTATAAAGTTTCCTTTATCTGACATTTTCTCAAGAGTCTTCAAACAGTTAAACTGATATGTATACCAATCCTAAAATAAAAAAAAATTATTGATATATAAATGTAGAGCAAGAATAATTAAATTAAGACAGTATAACTTTATAAATCTGAACAGTCATTAAAAAATAATTTGAAGTTTTACTGTACATTAAGTGTGAAATAAAATGGGTAATCATAAAATTTAAATAATAATTTAATTTTAACTATAATATAAATTATGTTTTAAGAAACATTTAATTCATTGGTTCAGTTTTTAACGAATAAAAAGAAAATATATCTATAAGTACATTTTTTTATTATATAGTTTGAAAAAACTCATAAAATTATAACTTATACAATGAGCATTATAAATATTAGACTGCTTTAAAATCTTTAATATAATTATAAAACTTACTTGACTACCAGTTTTAAGTATTAGACTGCAAAGTGTTCGGCTAAAGTATGAAGCCATTAAAGGATTTAAAGAAGGTTCATTATCTTCCAAAAAATTAAAGAAACATTTCCATATTTCCTCTTCATGTGAGAGTACATTATACATTGGCTGTACATCACTAGTTAAAATTTCACATGCCAAGTTTGGTAAAACAAATCGAGTTTCTGGTTGTACACTTTTTTCAGGTTCTTGAGTAACTAAACGTACTAGTTCCAATGCAACATCAGGTTTGGTAAGACTAAAAAAAATGTATGATTTAACTTTATAACTTCATGATATGGTTAAAATTAACAAATATAATATGTTTAAGAACACTAAAATTTAAATAAATTACAACATTAATATGGTAAAGTACTTGTTCATTTGACTTTGCTACTCAATTAAAAGGTCAATGAAAAAATCTTTCTACTTAAAATATGAATCCAAATAATCTTCCACTTTTTGTTATAGTTAGATATATTTTCAATATAATTTCTAAATATACAATAAAATTATGATTTAAATTTGTAATTATAACACTTACAAGTCTATTAATTTTCTATTTTGACCCTTAAGTTCTTCTAACAGATTTTGTTCCCTCATGAGATCATTGAGACACAAATCCTATAAAAAAAAAAATAAATAAATGGTAATAAATAAAAATTCTAACAACAAAATTATTGTAAATTACCTCTCTATCAAATATTGAATCCCAATTAGATGCTGGATTATTTTTCCAATACATATTGAATAGTATCACAGTTCTATACTTAAATATACTATAAACGTTAAAACAAATTATACTTTCGTATATTTTATAACAAATAATTTAACGACAATATACTTAGACAATATTTATGATCAATTCCAAAAAAATGTTGATTATCACATCTGGAAAACCCCTGTATGCCCGATACTGACAAAATTTAGAATTAATAGTTATTCAAAAAGGCACCGTATCTAATACATTCAAGTCAGTAAATAATTACCTAAGAAACTACTTTAAAAAAAGATTATCATTAAGAGCTATGAAAATAACTAGCTCTATTAACTAAAAAATGGGATTAACGATAGAAGTAAATTTACAAAAATGTAAGAAACAAGTACATTCCTACGTCGTACTCGTTAACTCATATCAACTATCACGAAATGGCGGTCGGAAAATGTATTACAGTGTGTACAAATACAACATTGAGATTTGTAATGCTGATTGTTTCTACGTGATCAACATTTATTGATAAAGTTAGTCACATTCATATTATTACGGTTATCTACAATAGTTACAGGAGTAACCATAGTAAAATGAATAAGAAGTATGCTCGATCACAGTCAGCATTTTCGTCGTAGTACGCGCAAGTGCATCGCCTTGTGTTTTTGTGCATTCGTATACGATCGTTGAAATACGACCGCTTCCGAATGCACTTTAAAACCGGGCGATTTTTAAATTGATAATTCTGATATAATATATATGATAGACATAATTTTTAAGTAATAATTATATTAATTACTTTAAAACAACGCATTCAATAATATTTTATAATAAATTTAATCGTATCCACGATTATTATTTTAGATTCTATGTATTTTTTTGTTGTAACTTTTGTATTTTAATGAAAAATTAGGATTTTGTACCTCGTTAATTAAACGTGAGCTATATTAACTAGTGTGCAGACTTATTTTTTTATGTTTTAACATTGAATTAACACCACATTAACTTAAGAAATCAATATTAAATATATTAGATTAGGTTAAGATGGTACATTTTTGGAAAACATAGCGCATAGCATTTTTTTTTCAAAAAAATGAATGAGTATTAATTAATGTGAATTTTAAAAAACAATCAACATTATTTATAGAAATTATTTTACTTATTAAGTGAATGAGAGAGATAGCATAATATAATCTTGAAATATAGATTATGTTTATTTTATTTTTATAATATAAAAATTATATAATATAATATTTCAATATTTCTAGTACCTTTTCATTGTATATTTTTTTAGTGTGCTGCTAATAATAAATATAATCCATCAGATTTATTTGAGGACAGCCTAACATATTTAATGGGGATATGTAGCTTTTAAATTTGAATACAAATATCCGAATCTTGTAGATAATTTGAATGAACCTAATGATTGCATAGAGGTTAAATAATTTGGAACATTACGACAACCATCACCTACATTAATAAATTTAGGAAAAATCATAGGAACTATTTTTAAAAAATTAAATGAAAATGGTACTTATAGAAATACAGTTAATATAAAATATTTTTACATACCTATGATTAAATTTTTAATAGATGATATTAGAAAAACTCCAGGCTTAATAAAGGAGGTACTGGAATTAACTAAAAAAGCATGTAATTCAGATAATCTTTTGGTGGATGATGAAGTCAAAAACTTCATTATTAGAACAAAAATATATTTTAGAATACGGAATATAAATAAAAAAACTTGCATCACGAGAAATGAGCAATAAAAAAAAAATTCAAAAATTTATTAAATAATCATTAAAACTACATTTTTTATAAATAATGTAACAACTTATACTTACTGTAAGTAATTACACAATAAATTGATATTTAATTATTTATATGCAGTTAAACATAGTAAAATTTTACTATGCAGTTAAAGTTTTTCTCAGGTTAGATTTATCAACGAATTAAATCTTGGTTTATAAACTACTACAGTGTAGCAGATAATACAATAAAGATGTATTACAACACAGTTGAAGTTAATAATAATAATAAAAAAATTATAAATGAAATTGAAAACCGAAATTAACTAAAAAAAGTTCATTAAAATACTTGACTATAACGGGACAGTGCCCCTTAATATAGAATATATACAACGCAATGTATTTACATGTGACGTCACGTTGAGTTTATTGTTGGTTACATATTTTACCCCTAGGCTTATCATGCGCACTAATTTGATCGAGCATACTTCTTATTCATTTTACTATGGGAGTAACCAGATTGCTAACTAGTGATCAGAGATTCAGTCAAACCCATCGAAACGCCATTATAACTATTGCCATATTCACTGATAATAGAGAATGAAATCACAAAATTGTGATTTTATTGTTTATGATAATAAAAACAATATCAGTATTAAATTATTTAATATGATAAAATCAAACAGAGTAAAGTGCTTCAAGTGATTAACTTAAAACGGCTTAAACCGTTTGCCGGACAAGCATAGAGAACTTAGCAAATTGATTTGATATATATATCTGTGGCAGTAGTAGATAACTATGAATGTTAATAACATGATGAAGGTGGATTAATGAATCCATCTTCTAATGATATCAATTTCATCAAAAATATATTTATGAAATAGAAATGTGAAAAACGTTACAATCAGATTATTTGGATCATGTAATCGTCTCACTTAAATTACTCGTTCATATGACTCGTATAATACCAATTATATTATTATTTAAGCGACATAAACCAAAAAATGCATTTTAATTTAATGCCTATGAACTTAGCCTCTTAGAGGCTCAAATTATGTTTTGATGACAATTTTTTTTAAATTTATTTCATACAACGTATATGAAATATTTCTATGAGCTAACAAACAGAAAATTTTAAATTTGATTAATATAGCTTTAATATAGTGTTTCTTAAAAACCATCTAACATTAGTTTATTAGCATTGATGCAAACTGAGAAGGTACTTGTTGCCAATATTTCTCAGCTCTCACCGGACCAATTACTTTCAGAGATATACCAAAATTTCAACAAATTTGTCAACCACCCAACACTCTGAATCATTCATCATAACTGGTTTCACTAGTCTTATAGAATTTACCTTTCAGCCTCATTAGAATTCTTTTATCGCATAAAACACCAAACGCTTCTCTCCACTTTAACTACCACCCACACTTAATACTGTGTCTTACATCCTAGTCACTCTTTTGCACATTTTTCTCTGTAAAAATTGCAGCACTAAATTATTAAATATCAATTTCATAATATATTTAATTGCTATAATAAATATTTATTCATATATTACACTTATAAATCATAGAACTACTAATTAGGAATAATAAAGGAAATGGTAGTTAATTTTGCTTTTGGAATACACCAATTTTTAAAAATTAAACACTAACTACAGATTTGAATCAAAGTGTTTCTTATGATATTGAATTTAATCAATGTCAGTTATTATCTATACTTGTCCCAACTATGCCACGTCCACACTGTGCTACTGTTTTTAATCAAATAATTAAATTACCTATTTATTAAAAATATACTGTAGTATTTTATGATTGAAATGTTATCATGACTTATAAATAAATAGGATATTAAAAATTGTAATGTTTTTTATTTATTTTGTTTGACAAAAAATTATATTATATCCAATAAAGGGATTTATATAGATGATTTGAGTTATATTTTCTAATTCTTATAATACAGAATGTATATGTTAACTATTTAAAACAATATACAAACAAATTACATACAAAAGTAAAGCAAGTAAATATTATTTACAATTACACTATATACACTTAAATTTAATAACATGACTATAAAAAAATGTTATACAATGAATATTCTGTGTTTCTATTATAAACAAAAATAAATAATTAAATTCATATTCAAGAATATGTCATAAGTTAAACAACTAGAACAATAATAAATCAATAATTGTACAAATTGAAATAAATCACAGCACATTAAAATCAAAAATAGTATGGATAAATAACAATAAAAGTATAATAGATAAGTTTAGGTAACAAAATCAGATATTAACAAGTTAAAAGATTAAACAGGTAGTTATAGATTAATCAAAAAAAATTATACTGATTAAAATGGCACATTAAAATATAAATAATTAATTTTAATAAATATAATTTATTTTAACTATAACTTTGAGATTTTACTTATTAGGAAACACATATTTTAATTCTAGATTTATTTTTCATTTCTGATAAAACTTCCCAGATAAACAGCTGATGTTTTTCTGTACGATCCAAATAATCATCATCTTCTTCTTCATCTATAAAAAAATATAGATTTGCTTATAAATATACATACATAGATTGTTTTACATAAATTTGTTAATTAGAATAAAAAAAAAAGTTTTGTTAAAACCTATATAAAATTATTAAAGAGGATTAAAAAAAAGATTTTTAGAAAACATTTTCAATATACAATATTGTGAGAATACTTTAGATGAATTTGTTAAACATTCAGCCAACAACATATTTATAATAACACTAAAATATAAAATTTAATTAAATTTTAGTTTTTATGATTATTTAATTTTCAGATGATCTTGAGTAATTTGTAAAATAATAGAACTTGTTTCAATGACTCAAGTAACGATAGATATCAAGAATAAAAAACCACAGCAATGTTATTAAGATAAAATCAAAGCTAGTATAGGACCAATAAATACCATTTAAAATATTGAAGGAAACTATAATAGAACATTTTGTTTTTTAATAATCATTCTGTTCAGTAATTCTAGACGACAACATGGACCAGACGAATAAGTGGCCAATTGAGCCGTTTGTATCTTCCATATCAGCTACAGAAAAAATATTTAAAATACTATTTTTCCTACAACTTTTAATTTTTTTATTTTAAAAATATGTGTTTATTATATACACATATAATATACATGAATCTACTAAAAATAGAGTACTTACTGGATCTAAAGTCTATATAGCCTTCACCACCTGCAATTATCATGGTCGATATTAAATTATCTGTATCAGGATTATTTTCCACGATTGGTTCATCAGGCTGAATAGCTGAAGCAGCTGAAAAACCTCCAGTTCCTTATAAAAAAAATTTATAATCTTATTCAATTATCTTTAATAACTCAAATAAAAGTATCATTATTAAGAAGAATTAATAAATTGCGCTGAAATTATATACTTTAATAGATTATACTATAGAATAAATTTAATGAATTATATACAATTTACCAGGAACAGAAACAAAAAATTTGACTGCATCACTAAAGCCATGAACAGATAATTGAGCTTGAGCCATTGAGCAATAAGGAATAAAACTACTAGGAGTCACTTCTTGAGTTTTAGGCTCACAATATACTTTCATCTCTTTACTTATAGAAAATCCCAAAAGACCTTCTAAAAAGTCAAAAAAAAAGTTCAATAATTAAAGAAATGAATGGGTAATTCAGTTATAACACTTACTATCTAAAAGGGGAACAGATAAAACAACACCAATTCCAGTACCAATCCACAGTCTATTTGATGCCACTAACATGGCAGTTATTCTAATACATGATAAATGAGGTTTGTCAGAACCTAAAAAATTTTATCTAGTTTAATTCTAATTAACAAATTTATTTAAGATACAATTTATTTAGGAGGCCTATAGACTTTAGCTGCGAATTATAGGGACTTAAAGGAACTTAGTCCTTTCATATTTCAAAAATAACTCCTCTAATATTTCAGTATAACTATATATATATATTATAGCATAAAATAAATTTTAAGGAAAAATTATTATATGTATAAGTTCCTTCAAAATTTAAAGTTGAAATTGTGCCTATAGCTATAGAATTCCTATTATTACTTCACACAGCATAATCTTTACAATAGATAACGTTAAATATAAAAATAAAATAAAAAGTAATTAGACATATTTGCATTGTCATATTAGGTTAACAGTTAATAAGCAGTGATGTATCTACCTAGAGCACTTGCTTTAGGGCCCATCAATAAGGCCGCCACTAATATAATTTGAAGGCATATTATAGAATTTTTCAAACTTTATTTACAATTCAAATAAACTTACCAAGCATTTTTATGATAAATGGTTGTACATCAACGTCTTGTAAATGTGTATAATTGTAGGCATGATACAGTCTTATTGTTGAGTCTAGGCGAATAGATATCCATACGCCATCTCCTACCCAAACCATTGTACGTACTTTGCTTTCTTTATGGGGATGGGCTTCTAACGTATGCTAAATTTATCAATAGTACATCAAATACAATTTGGTTTATTAAACTTTTATTTTTATTTTTTAACTTACAATAACCATTAAAGTTCGAGGATGTATAATGTGAATTTTATTTTTATAACCACACCAAACTCGTTTACTATTAACAGACACTAAGCATCGAGCAGCACATTGAGGAGAACCCAATGTTACACTATGATATTTGCTTAAATCCCAACATCCATCCATATCTCTTTGAAATAAAACTACAGTACCATTTGCTAACGCACATAAAACACGTCCATCGACATAACTGAAAAAAAAATAGTCACAGATAGTAATTTGAAATTCAAAAAAAAAAAAACCATAAAATTTCAAAAATCAGTTCTTAATAGACCAGCCATAGTAAAAACCAAAACAGACATAAATCTGACACTAATAAAAATTACTACAATATAATGTTTTTATGTGAATATATATTTAAAAAATTCAATTATTCTCAACTCTAACTCAACTTTAACAGTATATAGTTACAGGATAAATCTTTCCTATTATTTAACATGTCTTGTTTTATAATACAATTGCAATTGAAATTCAATTTTTTTTATATAAAAATATATAAAGAATCTTGTCATACGCATTTTTAATAATGTCTGAATTTTTTGTTAACATACTAGTAATTACCGTAAATAGAAAATAATGATTTTAATTTTCGGATTAATATTAAAATATTTTTTTATTTTATCGTGTAACAAGCTTTATTATGACATATGATTGAAACTCGGTATAATTCAGAACATTTTTAAAAGTTAAGCTAAAAAAATTATCTTTTCATATAAAAGTTGCTATTTTAAATTTTCTCTAATGAGCAGAGGTAAAAGGTTATATTTACAAAAAATTTATACCAAATAAAAGGGAAATACATAAAGCATTTATAAAAAAAATTGTTTTGTTTCATTTATTTTAAAAAATTTCAAATTACAAAATTTAACAAATTTCAAAAATCATAATGTTTTTGGGGATTATTCCTAATTACTGAGAACAAAGGAATTTTTTTTCAGTTTTTAAAGGTAATGTCTTCAACAAAATGCAATTTGTGATCTTTTGATATATCGTTGATCAAAATTAATATGGTAAAATAAGTAATGACAGACATAAAAAAAAACATCATAGTAAAATTAACACATTCTAAGTATCATATAGAAACTAAAAATTAATCACAAAATAAAATAAAAAAATATAAATTTGCTGTTTTTAAAAATTGTAATATGATGGCAATAATAATTTTAACAAAACTCAACAATTTGAGATAATTTAACCCTTAAACAGTAGCGTCTATGTGGGGGTCTAGCATACCCCCACATAAATAAAAACGGATATATTATATTGCATAAAAGGTGTAGATAGATATAAATTTATAAGATGGTTTTTATAGTGATATTGAATAGATTTTCATAAATAAATACCTTCGAAAAAAAAATCTATGACTTAAAATATCTATCAAAGTCGAAATGGGTCATATTGACCCCCACGCGACTATGAACGTTATAATTTTTTTTTGTATTTGTATTTTTTTCAAAATATCGTTTTATTGTAAATGCAATGTCATAATCGATATAATATTGTGGAATTGGGATTATGTGGATCTGCCACCGTCTATGCAATTAAGTTTTAAAAATAAATAATCTATTGAGAATTTCCACTACTCGACGATACGGAACAAATACGAACTAAACATGTAATAAATGCATCCCGTCGCAATGTGGACACATCGATTATCGGTGCCTCATTTACAATTACCACTATTCACATCTACCCCTCCTGACCCTACTCGTATTATAATAATTAAATTGTATTGTAATATTAATAATAAAAAAATTCAATTCAGAAAAATGATTATGTAAATGTAAATACACATAAAACTAGTAAATATAAGCCGTGTTTGAGCTCAAAGAAATACAAGAAAAATTAATAAAAATACATTTTGTAATATTAAAAGCTTTTATTTACCGTCTTAAAAATAAGATTTTGTAGTTAAAATAATTTTTTTACAAACCAAAATTTTTTAATGAAATTTTGAAAATTAAAAGTTTTTTTTTTTTTTGTAATATAATTTTTAGTAATGCACATAATTTTGTCATTTATTTATTTTTTAATTTTAATTTTTTAATTGTTATCCATATTTATATATCATATGGTAACAAATAATGTCTTTGAATTTAAAAAAATGAAATTTTTTATACATATTTTATACATTTTTAGAAATGGGGTCTAATAGACCCCCACGCGACTATGAACGTTAAAAATTGGTACGCGCCTGCTTAAGGGTTAAACAATATTGGTTACTGAGAATTTAAATTCTTTTAACGAAACAATGATTTTATACTTACATAATACTGAGAACTGCATCTTTTAGCTTGACAGAATGTAAACATTTTTTCCAGTGAGATTTAGCTGAGTGTACAAAAATGCAACCATTTTCAAAACCTAACCATACTGTAGGTAAAACACTTGACATTTTGTCAAAATCTTCTTCTGCTACACCAATACCTATTATATTATATATTATAAGTTTTCATGATTATAATTTAAGTTTACCATTCAAAAATTATAATAGGTTAAAATCAATATTAGTAAGAAATAATTATTACACCAAAAGAAAAATTTTAAAGAAAATAGGTTTTAAAAAAAAATTATAAATTTAAATTAAAAATATATTAACTATAACAAAATGGTAAAAAATATAAACTAAATTATAGAAATGGTTTAACTTGTACTGTACAACTAGTACTAAATAAAAAAATTATATTTAAATAATAATTATTTAAATTTTGATTAATAAAAAAAAATAACTTACATAAATTCATTAAAAAACCACATGTGAAAATGTTGGGAAGTTATAACCCCAAAAATTGTTAAAAACCATTCCATAAAAGTTTTAATTACAAACAGATTTATACTGTATTAAAAATTAGCAGTATAAAATAATAAATACCAATTAAATTTTTTATTTAACAATTTAAATAAAAAAACAAACAGTAAATTTATGAAATCAAATATATTTGTAGAAATAATTAAATTTTATGAATGTTTAGGAATTTTTTTTTAAAATATACAATGTACAAAAAACTATTGAAGTTCATTAAGTTCATCAAAACACATTCAATAATTTGTTTTCTACATTTACAAATTCCAATCAATATTTAAAATTTTATTTATATCAAAGAGAGCATTAAACACATTTTTATAATTAATAATATATTTATTAAAATGGAAAATTTATCTATTTTTAAACCTATTTAGACAACTATTATCAATGAAAATAAAAAATAAAGAAATATTTTTTTGCTAAAAAACTATGTAATGACCAAAAAAATCTTCATGGCCATATATTGTTAGTATCACTTTTGATAATTGACTTCCTTGAGGGACCCATTATGTGATGTGAATAGGAGTAAACAAATTGCCTTTAACTTTTATTATTTGTGACCTACTAATAGGATAAAATCTAAATCAAGTAGTGTTAGAAATACCACCATAGTTTAGTGTTAACCAAAGTTTATTAAGTAACAGTATCAAAAAGCTTTATACATATACACACAATATTTGTTTGATAACTTCATTAGTTCATTGTGGAAATATAATTAATTTGTATCAGTTAATTTACCTTCTTAAATCCATGTTGATTGGAGTTAATAACATTTTTAAAAGAAAATAAAAATTAAGGCATATCTTAACTTTTCTAGAAGTATTAATGTAAAAATTATTTTTAAAATGTGAATATTTAAAATTTGTTGGTATCAACTTTAATTATTTTAGACTGAGTAATGTATTTTGTTTAATAATTAATTAATAGGCCTATAATTAGTTAATGACTTTTAAATGCCTGATTTATGAATAGGACTTAAAAAACTTATTATCCATAATGGAGAAACAAATCTTAAGAGTAAGGAACAATTAAAGATAGTATATGAGGGAATATGTTCTCAGCTATATATCAAAGAAAAAATATAAATTTTCCTTTAAAATAATCCAGAAGTTATTTATAGGATGGTTTATCTAATAATTTTAAAATCAACATTATGATTAGGGTAGCTTGCAATTATTAATTTAGAATAAATATATTTTTTGTTACACTATTGAAGCTTAAAAAACTAATTATTATAAAATTATAATATTAAGTGATTAAGTTAATTTAACAAAACTTATTTTCAAATCAGATTTAATGACTAGTCATTGGATTTAATTATTTAATGTCATGCAATTTGAAAAATTCTTTAATCAGTAAGAAAATACATTCCAGGTCTATTAGTTTCATCAAAAAAGTGTAATTTAAATATATATTTTTACCATGAGGTGGGTCAGATAATCCATCTTTTATGATACCTTCTTTTAAAATGCTACTTCTCCTCGGATATTTATTATTATAATCTGGTTGATCAACATTGGTTATATTATCATCTATGAGCAAGAAAAAAAACAGCACTAACACAAAAAGCACTGGCAAAAAAAGCACTACAACAAAAAAAAAGCTACTACATACCTTCAAGTTTCTCTGTATCCGACATTTTTTCTTCAAATGTAGGTATTTCATCAATTTGAACTTCATTTAAATTATTTTCTTCACTTCCTGCTGCACAACTAACAAATATTATTTTTCCAATTTCAACTTCAGACTTATCTTCTTTTGGAATTTGTTTGTCCTTTTCACTAACCTCTTCAGTTTGTTCAAGCTCACAATTGATAGGATCATCTTTATCTTGATAATCACTTTCAAAAGCTCCTGTAAAAACCATTTTATTAAAAAACTTTTTAGATTTATTACAAATAGATTTGGAGATAGGTATTAAAGTCCTGTAACTAAAGTTGTAATTAATTTTGTTTCCACTAAAATAAAAATAGAAATTAAAAAAAAAATAGACAACATTTAAATTTTTATAATTATAAAATTGCTCTTATAGATTTTTGAGAGCTATTATACTTTCAAACAATTTTTTTAAATACAGTCCTATCTAAAGACTCTTATTTAAGTGTACTTATTTAATTAATTATAATTTAATAATTGTTATAGAATGTATCATACCTGGTACAGAAGCTATACAACCAATATGAGCTTGGCATGATACATCAAAACTTTCAAGCACTATATCAGGCTTATTTGCATCAATAATAACTACTTTACTTTTATTGTTAGAAGTAGTACACATCCATGTAAGTGAGGATAGTACTTGCAATGAATCATTATTAGTTCTACCATTTTCCTACAATAAAATTATTATATATATTAATTACAATAATAAAAAATTATATTACGACTTTATTGTATATTATAATATTTTAAGAAAATGAAGACAAAATCAAATTTTTAGAAAAGGCAAAATTATTGATCATTGTCCTGAATAATTTATTTAAAAATACTAATCCACATTAATTCCATTCTCATTATTCTTATAAAAATTTATTTGACAATTAAAATTTTCAAAATGCATGGTTAGGTTGAAAACGTCCTCTTATTTGGAAATAAGTTTAGAAAGTGATAGTATAATTTCCCAATCAATAAAAATTCATATAATAATCTAAATTCAGGTATACCAAAATTTTATTATCAAAAAAAAAAAAATTATTTAATATAATTAACTATCTTAATAAGTATTCATTATAAAAATATGTTTAATTTACCATAAGCTCATCATCTATTTTTTTTAACTCCAAACTTTCTTTTATATCTTCTTTTTCCAAATTATGCTTTTTTTTCATATTATTTTCATAAAATACACTAGCTCCAACAATAGACCCTCCATCACGAGTAACTCCACCACTAAGATTCACTCCAGCTGCACACCACATCTAAAATTAATAATTAAACTTAAAACAATACAATAAATACAATGAATTATTACTTTTAAATAAGTTATAGATTTTAAAAATTGTTATTGGATTTTTTACATAATATGTAAACAGGCTAAGTTTATATAATAAATTTAGTTTTATACATTTTCAAGGTAACTTTTTTTTTTTTTAAATTAAAAATAAATTTCTTGATATTATAAAAATTGACTTTGGACATTGAAATACTAACAATACAACCAACAACTGTCAATTATAGCAAATTTGTTGACAGTCTAAAGGTTTCAAGAAAGTTTAGAAAGTACCAATTACATCAAGGGACTACGACAGGACATTATTAAGGACTTTGAAATTTACAACAAAAGGTATAAGGAAGATCCCTTTTCTGAACTAATGATCGAAGCTGGAGAAATTCTTATGAAGAGAATAGCCGAAGAATGAAAAAAAGAATGGATGACATTAATTACGGATTTAGATATGATCAAAAATAGTAACAAAGCCTGGTAACTAATAAAAAGCATGAACAATGAAAAACAATAGGTAAAAGAACATATAAATATAACACCAGATCAAATTGCACATTAATTATTAATGAATGGCAAAATAAAAGAAAAGAAAACTAAGCTTATATTTAAAATGGATATGAAGAATAATACGAGTGACTTTAATAAACCGTTTGAGATGGATGAACTGAATAAGGCCATTGGAGTAATGAAAAACAGGAAAGCAGTAGGGATCGACGGGGTCATGACTGAACAGATCAAGCAACTAGGCCCCATAGCCAAGGAATAGCTACTAAATATGTTCAATAACTGTATTAAAACCAACAGAATGGTTCAAATCACATGTAGTGGCATTATTGAAGCCTGGAAAAGCCCCTACAGATGCAAGTAATTTTAGACCCGTGTCACTATTAAGTCATACATATAAAATGTTTGAGAGAATGGTACTAAATAGAATAAGAAATAAGATAGACGAGAAGCTCATTAAGCAACAAGCTGGATTTAATGCTGATAAATCATGAACAAAACAAATACTCAATCTTGTTGAAGAAATAGAGAAAGGTTATGAGAATAAGGTAATAACAGGAGCAACTTTTATTCGACCTCAGCGCTGCATACGATACGGTCAATCATAGGTTACTGCTTAAGAAAATATATGAGCTAACTGAACACTCAAAATTTACAAAAATTATTGGTTTATTATTAAGGAATAGACGGTTTTTTGTATCACTGCAGATACTAATGATCAACCAATTGGGGACCAAACAAATCATTTTATATACGCTGATGACCTTGCCATTACAACCCAGGGCAAAACATTCGAAGAGGTGGAAGTGAATCTGAACGCTGTGCTTAATACAATAAAGGAATACTATAATAATAATTATCTCAAACCGAATCCTTCAAAGACATAAATTCTCGCTTTCCACCTACGAAATAGAGATGCTAAGCGGAAATTAAAAATTAATTGGCAAGACACAAAATTAGAGCACTATGATGAACCAAATTACTTAGGCATTAAACTTGATCAAGCTCTAACATATAGAAGTCATAGTGAAAACACAAAAAATAAAACAGGAACAAAAAACTGTTTACTTCAAAAACTGGTTGGCTGTCAATGGGGCGCAGAACCTCATGTCTTAAGAACGAGAGCCTTATCACTATGCTACTCGACGGGTAAATATGCTTGCGCTGCATGAAAAAACTCAGCACATGCCAAAAAGGTAGATGTGACCCTAAATGTGACTAATAGATTAATTACCGGGAGCTTGAGACTAAACCCAGTTCAGAAAGTACAAGTTTTATGCGGTATATGATCTCCTAATATCAGACGAGAGGTAGCAGCAAGAGAAGAGAAAACAAAACAAGAAACATTCCTTATATGTATTTAAACTTATGGAGGCTGACTCAAATCAAGGAAAAACTTTTTAAAGACAATAATTAGCCTATTGCAATTACCTGAAGAGACAAGAATAGACCTATGAAAGGAGGGAATGAAATATCATAACTCGTACCTATGGAAAGATCCAAAGGAAAGCTTACCACATGGAAGTCATCTATCATGGTCAATGTGGAAGACACTCAACAAAATTCGAATTGAAACTGGAAGGACAGCTTGCAATTTGAAAAAATGGGGAATAAAAGAGGATGGTAAATGCGAATGCTGTGGAGAGCAAGATGCAGATCATTTGTTTACATGTGCACTATTACCGACTAGACTAAGTGTTGAAAAGAAGATTTTTTAACTCGTGAAATTTCAGACAGCAATAAAACTTGCGGCTTACTGGGAAGAGAGAGGAATATAAAGAAAACTGACAAGAACAGAAGAAGGTTAAGATTAATTATCTTATTCATAAAACAATAAAAGTACTAATTTTTTTAGAAAAACACAAAAATGAATAAAGATCATAATGAAAATAATATCTTGGGCTAGATGCTTAAAAGAAATAATCCCTGGATAATTTTAATTATAGTGAAATACTAATAGAAGGCAACTCAAAACGGGAAAACAAAGTTATTTATATTTAAATATTCATTCAATACATTTTATTTGTACATGAATTACATAGACAATGGCTTACTTTCATTCCTGGCTCAGAGTCTGCAAGAGGGGAGCAACAATTAACTAATACAGGAACAGGATATTGTGTTCCTGAATTAATAGAATGTTGTGGAATGTTCAAAGACGTTCTTCCAGATGATGGATCAGCAGGCATGCTCCAGCCATAAGCTTGTAACCAACTATCTTCTCTAGGTATATGTGTACGTATTCGACTAAAATGAACTCGTCTATCAGAACGCTTAGATTTATCTCCATAACTAAATAACATTATTTTAAACAGTTTTAAATTATATTTACTAAAACATTATTCTCTCGGACTAACCTAATCTCTTTGTACATAATTTGATTTCTTAGAAGTAGTTTTGTTGGAACAAAGGATTTAAAAAATAATATTCCAATCTGTAATTGAATGAAGAAAAAAAAGATTGTTAATATTTTATTATTACACCATAATTCTTATAGTATAACCCCAGCATATAGCATTTTTATTTAAAATAATCACTTTTTCTTTTAGTTATATAGCAATCGATTTAGCCATGCATAAGTTAGTCCTCGAGAATAGTAAAATAAAAATAAAAAATAATTACATATTATCATCTTCATATCGACTATATCGTCCTCCTTCAATCATACTTCTTCTCTTCATTATACTTGGAGGTCCGACATGATGAGTTGATGGATCATAATGAATAGATCTAGGTCGTTGAGATATCAAGCCTCCTCCGCTATTTCCACTTCCAAGTCCTGTATCATCTGCTTTGGCACCACCTCCAAACAAGTTACTAAAACTTTAACAAAAACACAATTTCATCATGCTGAACTCATCAATAATTAAATAATATTCAAATATTTCAAACTAGAATTATGGTTCCATTCAGCAACTATCAAACATTTAAGAAACATATGATTGCTTTTATTTAAGCACAACAGATATTGAGAAGAATTCTTCATACACCATTCATAACACTAATATTTAATCACTTACAGTCTCCACACACCCTGTTTTTTTTTCTCATTTGGCTCCAACCGAATAGCACGAACCGTCTCTTGCCAACGAAGTGATTCTTCTAAATCCATTAACTGTTCTTTAAATTTATTACGCTCAAGTATTACTCTGGCCATTTCTACACGAGTAAAACGTTTACGCTCAGCATAAGACTTTTCTTCCTTTAATAAACATTTAAGACTAGAATTATGACCAATACTAATTCATACTAAAATTTATTGAATAATTACATCAGAATCAGATTTATTAATTTTAATTTGTTCCAATTCTTGTTTTAATTTTTTAAGTTCTTCCTCAGAATCAGTAGCTCTTTGGTTTAAGCGTAAATTAAGAGTTTGTAATGCTTTAATTTCTTCACGTAAAATATGTTGTTCACTAATATAAAATTAAAAAATTTAATGTAAAAATAAAAAAGTATTAAATTATAAAGATTACCTTGTTAGTTCATCTACTTTAATAATTAAATCGTCTTTTACTATGTTCAAAGCATTTTTTGTTGCTAAAAGTTCTGTATTTTCTTTGATCAGATTTTCAACTTCTTTTCCCATACCTTTAAAAGGATTACTCAATCATATTAGAAAAACAATAATTACTTTGAAAATCAGTTAATGTTAGATGTTAGTCTTACCAAAAAAATTATCATTAACTGTTTTATTTTTGGATGAACACAAGAGTGAATGGTTGAGTAGCAGCCGCATAAACATAAATTAAAAAGTTAATTTGTAATCATATCATCAATTAATAATTTTTTAAAGTTAATCTTTTATTAGTATACATTATAATAAACATTCTATACTTAAAATTAAACAAAAATATTTCAACAACTAAATTTTCCATGTAAATACATATATACTTAACTAATTTATAATTAACAGAACAAATAATTAAACACAAAGCACTAGTTTTATTTCAATTTTAAAGATTTAGTAAAACAGTTTTAAAACATATTAATAATTTAATACTTGTCATTAAAGTATTTTAATTACTAAATTAATTATTGAAAAGTATATAACTAACTTTTAATGTTTGCTATCAAAATAAACAAATGATTATTAAATTTAAATTGAACTAAAATAGCTTTGTGGGAAAATGTTTTAAAAATATTAAATTAATTAATAAGAAATAAGGCATATATTTTATTAGTAAGCATTTTATGAATAAGCTACTAGTATTAAAAAAAAGCTATGTGCAATAACTAAATTATAAAAATAAATCATAAGATATACAACAACAAAAAATACTAAAAATGTAATGTTTGTTAATATTTTAATTTAAAGGAAATGTAATTTTTAAAAAAAATTCAATAAGGACCTAATAAATAAAACCAAATTGGTTATAGTCATATTATGTCTTTAAATATAATCATGTTTTGAAAACAAAATCACACACACAACTTGAAGATAAAATTAAATGAATTAATTTTATAATCAAGTTTTCCTTACTTAGAAATAAAATATTTTTTCTCATTTAGCCCAATATTAATCAATATTCACAATTTTAGTTGTATATTTAATCAATGTAAAATGTATCCAATATTATAACAGGTTATAAAAAGAAGTATGATTTATCAAGAGAACTCATACCTATAGAAAGAGGAGTATCTGGCTCAGTTTCACTGCTAACTGTTGTTGAACAACAATGTAAATAACCATGCAAAAAAAAAATGAAAATAATAAAGGCTGTGCACCAATATATGAAAAATATTTCAATAAAGCTATGCTTAAAAATGCACTTAAAATCTATTAATAGTATTTATAGAACCCTCAAGCAACAAAAAATCATTGATCATTAAAATCTTACCAGATGATGCATAATCTCCAGGGTGAACCCAATTCCCTAATAAAAGATAGATGATACACAGTTAATTATAATGATAAATAGTAAATTTCAAAAACACACAAATATTACTTAAGTATAATATTTTATAAGGCTCAAGGTTAAAAAATAATAAAGGAATTTCAATACAACATAGTGTTTAGATCAAATTGTTGTTAGGATGGTGTCACATTCACATATTATAAGAAATGAACCTTCCTCTTCTGTTCTACACTTCCTGCACAGTGGTGATTCCATTGTGTTAAGATGATTATGATGTTTTGTCAGAGTGCCTATTTGATATCTAGTCACGTTATTTAGATTCCTCAATAATAGACTAGCAGTCTTGATAAACATTTTTAATTGTCTGGGTACCACAAGGTAACTCCATATTTTTCTGTGTTGTTTTATATAACATTTTTTGGGTCGTACTTTGAGAAATTACTCCTTAAGTCAACCACTGTTCTGGTCCAACATAAATGTTTTCTGCACCTTTCTTTACTAGAATGTCTGGGGTTTAAATCTCAATAAGAGTCTTATTTTTAAACAAAATCTAATAAAAGTAACATTTTTATTATACAAATTCAAGTGTTCCAAGTTAAAAACTACTAAATAGAATTTTTAATTCATAAATTCCTAAAATGATAATTTAATCAAATTGCTTTTATGATAATTTGAAAATACTTTATTAATAATGTTTTCAGACAGTCATAACTGTGTTATGGTTTTATATATATTTAAAATTTTTAAATTATATGCATTTAATCCTAAAAAATCTTTAAAGAATGCAATAAATTATGTCAATAAGATAAATAAAATATGCTAAAATTATTTATTTTTGACTAGTAGTGCTTTATAGATTAAACATTTATTTGCAAAAAAGTTACTTGAAAAAGATACCAATGACAAAATTAAGACTAATTATTCAAATTTAAAGAGTTTAAATTAAATTAAATCAAAATTAATTAAAGAGAATTTACAATCCCTTATATTTTATTGTTGGATGGTAGATAAGAGAATAGAGCATAGAATGAGTGTAGCAAAAATGAGAATGCTTAGAAGGATGAGTGGAGTGACTAGAGAAGTAGGATAAGCAACAAAAATAGACTTAGATGGTTAGGAAATGTTATGAGGAGAGAAGAATCGGAAGCTGTAAAAACAATTATAGAAATGAATGTTGAAGGAAGAAAAGGTAGAGGAAGACCTAAAAAAGATGTAGAGGGATGTAATTGAATGCAATATGAGGACGGCTGATATTAGGGTAGATGATGTAGGAGATCGTGTCAAGTGGAATTTTAGGATAAGGGTAGCTGACCTCAAGTAGTCGAGATTATGACGAGGAAAAAGAAGGAGAAAAGGAAACCAAATAAGTGCAAAAAAAAAAATAGAACTCTGATTATATAGTTAGGAGTAGTTAGGATAAAGATGAGGTAAAAAGAAGAAAGAGATATTTACTAAAAATTTAGTACCTGTAATATCTGGCATATCTTCAATTTCATTTTGACCTTCATTATCTTGAAAACTAAACTCTTGATAAAGAACATTAGTAGCAGTTCTTTGTTCTCTGGAAAACAATAATTCAATTTATTGTAAAATAAATAAACTTAGACTTACAAAAGTTTATTGATTAATTATGCCAACAGCAATATTTTTGAATGTATAAAATAAAATTTAATTTAAAAAATCTTTTTTTATTGTTAATGGACATATCTCTTTCTATAATACCTTAAAATTCGAATTAAAGTTTTATTTATTTACTACAAAAAATTTTAATACATACATATTGTAATATTAAAATATTATTACTAGATAAATTGAATGGAAATTAATTAAATTATTTTAAAATAACTTTTTATTTATAAGTCATCCTAAGTTATAGTGAAGTTGGTCAAATAAAACAGTGTCACATTAGAAAAAAAATTTCATTAATATTACAAACTTATATTTTTTTTTATAAAAAAATGTGTAAGCTAAACATATGATATTTTTTAAAATATTAATAAATTAAGGTTCTTCATTTAATACTTTTCAATTATAATTTTTAATTATATGATTCGTACATATTAATTTAATTAATTTGTATAATTTATTTAGTATTCTCAGTTATCATTATCATTAGTAATTTAAGTTGATCAGATAGTTGTTGTTTAATTTTATTATATTCTGAAGTTTTAGTAATAGAGACTTTAGAAATAAATATTTTACATTTGTTGTTTAAAAATAGGTCTTTAAAGAATTAGCGATCAAAAAGTCAAAGACAATATCTAATGACTACAGAATTTTTTTTCTACTTATAATATACATAAATATCAACCAAACTGCATAAAAAAGTAATTAATTAAAATTCTCAAATTTTTACAAAATTTCTATTTTAATGTAAAGAAAATACTTGTACCTACTTATACTTTCAAATAAAAATAGTTAATTGTCTTTTATGACATCAACATTCGAAAATACAATCATTGTAAATCATTGTTGTATGATTATAAATATACAAACAGACAATTCAGAATGCATATCTATTGTTAAAGTCATAAGTGACAATAAACGATCCATGTCTGTGATAGCAAAAAACCAATTAGTTACCTGTATTTGTAATCCTTCATGTACTATACATGTTAATATCTCAAAAATTTGAGCCTTTAAAATTTTATATCTAATAAACAAATAATGTTATATTAAAAATTCAAATGCCATTTACTATTAAAATAAAAACTCAAACATTTTAATAAATTCAAAATATATGTTCACAATTGAAAAAACAAAATTGACACCGTTACAAGGCATAAGATATGAACTTAAAAAATATTACATAATTAATAATTCAAGAATGATATGCAACTAAATGTAACAAAAAAATAAAAAATGTTTAAATCATTTTTATTCTGTAAGTAATTGAATGGGTTATGTAAAAAATGACCCTGTTTAATAGAGTAAAAAAATCCTCGTTAAAATTTTGATGACTGACTTTTTTTGATCTACCTTAGCCTACATGCACAAGCTGTACCTACTAGTAGACATAACTCCACCCGAAATTAGAAGATGTGCAACTACTGACATCAAAAAATTAAAACAAAAAGGACAAAATACATTTAAAGTTCGGTCAGGAAACCACAAGAACAAAACTTAAATCCTGAAGAAATTTCATACATACAAAAGAACTACACGAATCGTGACTACAGAGATACCAAGGCAAACTGCAACCAGAGAACCTATTCAGCCAACTCACTAATTTCTGTTGGGCGAAAATTTACCATGTGGAAATGACTCAAAGCTGAAATGACAAGGACTAAATCTAACCTAGTATAATGGGACTTGAGTGAAGAAGATGATGCCCGTGAATGTGAAGAATGACAAATTAACTTATGTCATGCACTAGAAGTCCAGCACAATGCACCGAAAGAGATATAATTTTGACAAATAGAAATGCTCTAGAGATGTCTAGTTACTGATTACAGTATAACAATTAAGACAATATCAAATATGTGATTTTCCTAACATTACCAAATTCTTAACCTAATTAATTATTTTGTATTTATCTACAATTTATTTTTATTATTATTGACATATTAAAGTCATATTCAACAATAAGAAGAATGTAACTAATCAAAATGATATTGGTGTTAGTTTTTGTCTAATGATAATAATATATAAAGAATTGAGAATGCTAGAGATAAACCACTTTTTTTTTTATTAAAATTAAATTAATTAAGTTGAAATTCTAAATTACTTTTGAGTATGACTCCGACCACTCAGGGACAAAACAGAATTTCTATGTCCCGTTTCAACTTCTTCTACTATGTCTGGGGCTTCATCTGGACTGCTATCAACTTTACTAACTGAATTTAAAGTTTCAGACCATCCTCTTTCAGAAACTGGATCATTACAAGGCCGAGATCCTGTCTCTGAATATTCAATATCCTGGTTCAAAAAGAATAATTATTTATTTTATTTGTTATGAATCATTATTGACTAATTTTATTTTTTTTATACCTGTGATTGAAGTTCATTTTTAAGGCTAGAAGTAGAATGCAAACTTCCAGGAGGTGAATTTGTAGAAATTAATGGATATTCATTCATACCATCAACAGATTTAAGTGTAGATGGACCACCTTCAAGAGAACTAAAACCAAATGAAATTGGTCCAGATGATCTAAAATTAACAATTTTTTTTTAATAAATATACGGAACAATGCATTACAATTAATACAAAATATTTATTATTTTATTTATACCGATTCATATGTGTCATACTCATAAATGGCATTCGCATACTTCTTGTATTATCCATTCGATCACCGGAGCCCATTAATATTTTTGCTCTCTCTATATGATCCATATGTGTTTTAAATAATTCTGTATACCTTTCGTGCAATTTTGTATATTCTTGTTTCATATCTTGTTCTTTTTCTTCTAACCTATAGACTATTTTTATCGAAAAATAATTATTATAAATGCATTAAAAACAATGATTTTTAAGTAAGTTAAGTATAGAAAAAATAAAATTTACAAATGTTATTCTAAAAGAACTTTGAAATTTCTTGTCAATTCTCTTAAAATTAAAAATTTTAAGAGAATTTTAATTAAATTCATTGTAATATTATTATTTAACTCTTTTAGTTACTCTTAATATAATCTTTTTAATATTTAATTATTATATTTTTGATTAGTTAATATTAAATTAAATAAATCATCGCCATTTACTAACTAATATTGAACACTATAAATCTATACTCACCATGATCTGAAGCGTTTTTTGCTTTTAACTCAAGCATTCTTACGATGGATTCCAAGCTTTCGGTTTTACTTTGATAATCTTTTTTAACATCATCTAATTCATAATCCATTTCAATAAGTTTCTAAAACAAACACAAACACAAAATTTTGTTGATATATACTATAAATCATGATATACTGATATGTAGTACCAAAATATAGATGCAATAAAAACACAAAAGTTTTATAACGTAGGTAACATTAATTAAGATTGAAACAAAAATTATTTTCAGTTATATACAATGGTTAGGAATATGATACTGAACAACATAGTTCTATGATCAAATTGTAGTTAACTAAAATAGTATAATTCAAATTGGGATTCATACAACTAATCAAGTATTTTTTTAAATAATCACATATAATTTTTTTTTTTTAATTACAATAATAGAATAAGTTTAATATTTTATGGATTACATTCATAATTGTAATTTAATAAAATCCAATAAATGGTTTTTTAATAATTTAGATACTAAATAAAAATCTTAACTCTAAAGTGACTATGATGTGCAAAAAAATCTTACAATTTCTAAAATAATATTTATAAAGTAATTGTACTTCATAAATAAGTTACCTGTTCAGCTGATTTCCGTAGTTGTTTTTCTCTTTCGTATTGTGTAACTAGTTGCTCATTATCTTCACGTAATAATTCAACTTCAACTTCATGCTCTTGGTTTTCTGTATGAGAAAGATCTAAACACTCCAACACATTGACTACTAAAGGCATTAAATTTTTCACAACTTCTTCATCATATTTGGCTATCATTTTCTCAAACTCTTGATAAATACTACCAGCTAAAGACTGTACTTTTTCAGACATAACAATATGATTGTCATCCTGAGTTCCATATACAACTTCATTCGCCATCCTTAGTTATTTTATAACAAAAAATAATGTAGTATACTATGTAAATTTAATTGACGTCAGCAAAAAAAAATTAAATTAAATATGTTATTAAACATTGTAGAGTTGAATTATGTACAAATTAGCTACATTAACAATAATGTAAAAAAAGAAATTACATATCCACCATTAATTAAAAAATACAAAATATGTGAAAGAAAAACGTCATTCTCATATAAAAGGATTTTGTTCTGTGTCCATATTAGACCTAATTGATTACAAAATATACTTGATAATGGCGCAGCAAAAATCATAAACATATGGAAAAATACAGCATTGCCAACTCATTATCAAATTCTATGTAAGCACTTTGTATACAATTTAAAATCTGTGGTCCGTATCCAAGGAAATTCCTATTTTATTTAGCTCATAAAAATCCTTTTTACCAGAAAATACTGAATATTAGCTTCGACATGAAGCTAAAGATGTATTAATTTTTCCATAATGCATTTATTTTTTCATTTTTTTTTTGTGCTTGTCACTACTTTTATTCAACGATACGACAAAAGATCACAAATCATATCTAGTTAAAGACATTAACCTAAAAATTGAAAAAATTTCCCCCGTTCCCCGTAAATGGGGTAAATCTCCAAAAAAAATTACAATTTTAAAAAACGGTAATTTTTGAAATTATTTCAAAAATTAAAATTAAAAAATAATTGAACAAAATTATTTTGTTCAATTATTTTTCTTAAAATTGCCAAAACTTTTTCAAAAATTAACAAATCAAAACAATTTGTTTTAGAAACCTTAGGTATTTTGCTTTTATTTGGTAAATTTTTTTTGACATTCTGACCTGAACTACACACAAGGGGGATTCAAAATAGTAACTTTTATACAAAAGTCAACTTTTTCAACTTAATTTTAGAAAATGTTCCAGAAATACTGCATCCTTTAAAAATATTTCAAATTAAAGCTAATATTACGCACTATTAATTGAACAATTTTTTTCAGTCCCGACACTTTTTCTTCTGTGAGAAAATGACCGTCGAATTTAACGAAAAATTTAATTTTTATGTAAAAGAAATCACTTAAAACTTAATAGTTAAAACTGCCATACTTTTTTGAAAAATGAACAAATTAAAATAATTTTTTTTTATAATGAAATCTTAGATATTTTTTTTTCATTTGTTATATTTTTTTTGAAAATCCGACTCTAAATCTCCGCACAGGGAGGATTCAAAAAAACATTTTTTGCACACAAGTTAATCTTTTTCAATTTAATTGTTGAAAATATTACGGAGATATTGACACTTTTATTTAATCTTAAATTAAAGCATATATTATATACTTTACTATGAAAAAAAAAAATTCGAATTACAGATTTTCCTTTCGATGAAAGAGGCTACCGTGTTAAATAATGAACATATTTTTATATTAAAATTCTGAGATTTGTATTTTATTTTATTTTAAAATAAAAACTTTAAAAACATTAAAATTTGAATTGGCTTAAATTGCTAAATAACCGAATGGGTAACACTTGTGTATTTCACACTTAGAATACAAAGTAAGAATCCGCCGTATAATTACAATAATTATAATATAAGTATATACGTACAGATATAATATTTTCTTATGCAATAAAAGAAAAATTATATTTTAGAGATTGGTCACTTATATTTATTAAACAAAAATATTATAAAATTAAAAAGAATTTCTATAGTTACGTCAATAAATAGATAGATTAAAATATATGATTCAGTTTGCTCTCGAAATTTTATAATTAAGTAGTTTTGTGTTAATATACAGTAAAATTTTACGTTTAAATAAATTGTCACGATCAATTTTATTTATATATATAAATATTTTGGTAAAATGTTCCGAAGCAACTTTCAAATCTTGTGCGATATTTCACTAAAAGTGATTCAATGGTCTATGGCTTTTGGTTACATAATACTAGTCATACTTTGGAATTTGTACAAGCTAAATGAATTGATCATTGTAGTGTTTTGTCGTAACTTTTTAAAAGAAAAGCCTAATAATGAATCGATCAAAGCTAATAATCAACTTGAAAATTCGACTCCAAATATGATAAAAACTGGACTTGGTTTTACAAATAGTATTTTGCTACCCAACGGCAACAAAATGATTGTTGAAAACCCAAGTGTAACACACGAAGTGGATATTCAATTTAATGCAGTTGCAGCTAACTCTGACATAGAGATTAAAGTTAAGGATGCTAATGAAGTATTCGGTCTTCAGATAGATACAAACAATCCATCAAATTTAGTAGCTGACATTGAAATCGATAACAAGGCAGTTGAAACGAAACCAGCCTTAGACATTGATAAGAAATCTCCTATTAAAACGGATGTTGTATCGACACTTGCTACAGACGTGCGTAAATTTGACGTCTTCTCTAAACGAATTGCACCTAAGGACACAAAAGTGTTTAGAAAACGTGTTGATAAACAGAAATTCTCAGTGGCGACTAAAAAATCTTCTCCTATATATAATGCTAACTATTTGTATGTTGGAGGTTTAAAATCTACTACAACAAATGAACACATCACTGAAAAATTCTCTAAATTTGGCAATATATTGAATGTTGAAATTTTGGACGGCGCTTATCGTTATGGAAAACAAAGTACACTAAAATGTGGTTTCGTGTGTTTTGAGCACAGTTCTTCAGTAGATAAAGTGCTCTCTTATAAAAGTCTTACACATTTGTTGAGTAATAACAGTAAGGTATATGTGGACAGACGTACAGAAAAATATGAACCTTATCCGAACTGTATGTCGTATAAAGCATAATTATAATTATAAGCAAAATGCTTATTATCCATTAAATGTCTCTGAATTAATATTCCATGTGTCTGGTGAAAACACGTTCAAAATTATTTTATACTTTATTTTTCAATATCAAAAGAAATTAAAATTTTTATTGTTTTAACTAGGTATTAAATGTTAAACTCAAATTTGTTTCATATTTTTAATTAAAAAAAAAACTCATGTTATTTCATATAATTTTATTACATTCTAACAGTAAAAGTTATTTATAAATATTTTCTCTGAGTTAATCAACCTAAAATTACATGCATTTGTATTCATTTAAATAGATGGATTAAGGTTTAAATTTATTTCCTTTGATATTTAATTGACAATATCAAATATTTTGCTTTTTACTTCAAAATGTTTATAATTCTTGTGTTCTATTCTTAATAAATGTTATTTAAACAATATTTGTTCGTTATTCTATGGGAAAATATTGAAAAACAATACAAAATAATGGAATAAAAAAAATATTTTAAATGTAGAAAAACAGTGACTTAGGGCTACATATTATTGCAAAAGCTAAAATTAAATGTGTTATTGTTTTTATTATTGTAAATAATTAATGTTGTTATTATTTTTGTAAATGTTCTAAAGAAGAATGTTACACTAGATTATAATTAATCTTCACAGTATTCTCAAAACATCCTTAATTTAGCGCCAAAAATTTTATCCAAGATTTTTATCGACTGATCATAAAAATATATATTTATAAGCAGTAAATAATTACATAATGTTCAGGACTATGAATTAATGCATTTAAAAATTTTGAAGAATCCTAAGCTTTAGTCATAGGATTATTTAGTAAATCAGATATTTTTTTTTTTTGGGAGGGGATTAACCTTTGTAATCACATCAAAAACTAAGACATCAGTAAAACACTACTCAATTTTAAATCAATTAATAAAAATATGTACTGACTGATGGTGTGTTCGAATTAACGTAGCAAAATGTTTAAATGCATATAATTCACTGCTCTAATAATATTAATAAATAAAATAAAAAACTTAGTTTATAAATAGTCGGCGTGAGGAGCGTTTTTAAACTACAAACTTTTAGCTTCGATGCGAAGCTGAGAAGGTATTGGTTTTACTAAGATGTATTTTTTTTTTTTTTTTTTTTTTTTTTTTTTT